ACATAGAAAAAGAAGCATAGATACAAAAGGCTTTTAACTACAGTTTGTGGACTTCCTGATAGTAAAGAATTACAATAGTCCAGCCTTGAAGTAACAAATGCATGGACTAGTTTCTCAGCATCACCCCTGGACAGGAGATTTCTCATTTTTGCAATGTTCCTCAGATGAAAGAAGGAAATTCTAGAAACCTCTTTGATATGGGATTTAAATGACAGGTCCTGATTAAAAATAACACCAAGATTTTGCTTCATCTGGATTTATAGACAGATATAGCTGAGTGTCATCAGCATCACATTGTAATTAATCCAATACTGTCTAATAACTCTACCAAATGGGAGTAGGGATGCCCGATACCATGTGCTTGTACTTTTACCTCTGTCCGTAAATGTGCTCTGATACTACAGGACCGGATACTAGCATACCTTTCTCTTTAACAGAAAGCATTAGTTTGCAATCAGATACTAGAAGAAGAAGACAAAGCAGCAAAGAAGAATGCAGTGTGATGTCAAGAACCCGCAAGCCAGAGCATAGAGAAGGAGGGAGTAAACACAAAAAAGGTGGAGTTAGCCATGTCCGCTATTTGGACATATTTTCAAGTAAACGAGGAGGACAAAAGTAAGGCTAGTTGCAAAATATGTAAATTAAGTTATCAAGAGGAGGAACAAACCCTAGAAGTTAAAACACAAATAACCTGATAAAACATCTTATGACACAACACGACGCCGAACAGAAGAAGTTTTCACATGGCGGTGGGAAACTACAACAACCAACTTTACCGCAAACGCTGAAGAAGCGGGAGAAGATGTCCAGAGACAATCCACATGCAATGAAGATAACAGAAGCTCTTACTCAATACATTGCTCCTCGATGATCAGCCATTATCCCTCGTTGAAAATGTTGGATTCAGACGTCTTTTTAGTTTGAAAAAATCTGGTATCGGCACATCCCTAATTGTGAGCATATATATAGTAAAGAGAACTGGCGACCTGTCCAGGGTGTACCCCGCCTCATGCATGTAGGCAGCTGGAGATGGGCACCAGCACCCTTCGCAACCCTGCTTGGAATAAGCGTGTCAGAAAATGGATGGATGGATGGATATAGTAAACAGAACTGGTCTTAGCACTGATCCCTGTGGTACTCCACAGGTAACCTTTGGGCATGAAAAAGATTTATCATTCACATGAACAAACTGAAATTGATCAGATAGATAAGATTTAAACCAGTCTAGTGCTGTTCCTTTAATTCCAACA